TTTCACAAATCAATCAATTTATATTTCCTGTTGATGAAAATGCTAGAAATGTATTTGCAGATTATCAGTATACTTACAAAGTTGAATATAATACTTGTTAAATGTGTATATAATTTACCACAAAATGTCTTATTTTCATCAAATATGTTAAAAGCAGAATGGAAGTTTTGGTTCAAAATTGTTTGATAGAACAAATGTGCATACTTTTGAAATATCTGGGCCACAGCATCCCAATTTATTTACTGGATGGTAAAATACTGAATTGTATCGTAATACAATTATAGACTAGTGGGGAAATGTGAATGTAAAGTCATACAATAAAGGGTTGAGAAAGAGGAACCAGAATATGTTTCTAGCATTTTCTGTTAATGATTCACAAGTTGAGTTTCTCAGAATTTCAGACACATAAGTTGGAATCTTGATTTGTCAATAGAAGCAACCGAGTGGTTGTAAATATACCACTACAACAAATTTGTGAATCTGAAAAAAAACTGACAATAACACAACTCCTACAACTAAAAATCTTCAAAGTATGGAAGCATACCTTAGAATGAAGCATGTGTATTGTTCTCAGAACATAATTATTGTGCTACTGAACTCAGTGCTGTTGATGCTAAATTTGTTCAAGAACATATTACTGCAAACGATGATTTTTCCTTATATCAAGACATCCTGGACAACATAACATACATTGTTGGATATTCCTGCTTCAAACGAAAACAGAAACTGTTATGTAACAGCTTGGGTTTCAACGTAATTGCAGTGTGTAAAACTGCAATTAAAACAAGGGCACTTTGTTATGTTGTAACTTGTAAATGAAAAATTTGAAAGATGGTTTTTGAATGCCAAAATCAAACCTGTTTTTTAACATTGCAGTATTTTTTACAAGCCTACATTGTGAATCATGTGAATATAAAACAATGTAATAGCTAAAAGAATTATTATAAAAGTATTGGGCAATGTATGTAAAAAAAATTATTACAAATCCAAAGTAGACAAACCTACAAAATTGTTAGTCAAAAGGAAATTAAGTATTTATCAGCAAATGTAAAACTAGATATTACATATTTAGAGAAATGTTGAAATTAAGTTCATACAAATAGCCTTTTTACAAACACAACATTTAATATGTTTGGTAGTTTTCTTTTTGGCTAATCAATTTGACCAGCTGAAATTTATAAACTTAGAAATTTGTTTTGTTGTGTCATACATTACTTTATAGGCTTGATAATTAGATATTTCTGAATAAGATAATTTTATGAACATGAATTAATGTATTTCATTCAGAAGTTTTTACAATAGTTTTATAACTGTGTTATTTTTATTACTGGTAGTATGATTGTACCCTCTGTTATATTTCAGAAACAGTATACATTTAATACAAAAGTAAATAAGAATGCAAAGCATTTCTTTATTTTCAATACAAGATAAATATTTTGTTCTTTAGTTGAATTTATAGATAATTTTAGAAGATACTTTAAAGATAATTTAGTAGAACATGCTTTCATTCGGGCTTCTTTAGATAACATCAAAAAACATTTGTTATACAGAGAGTAAAATTAATGCATGCCTGGAGTCAAATGCTCCTAAAAAGCACTTAATTTAAAAGGATTGCCTAATTGGCATGAAAAAGATTACAGCAATTGTCTCATATAAAATGCATTAACATTGTTGTTTTAATACAAAGAGTAGTGTACTCTGAACATAAATCAAGATTTCATAGTAAGTACTATCAATTAATGATTTTGCAATCTGAAACCATTGCAAATGCACAGCTTCTTTTGCTTATATTGCCTATAGTTTGCAAATCATTTGGCTGATGTTTACTAAGTTGTCAAACAAACCATTTTCTACCCAAGATTTAAATCTGTGGTGCACATATACAGAATCTTGATGTAATATACAGGGTAGTGTGCCATGTTAAATAGTCTACCTGATCCATTGTTAGATATCAAAGTAATACAGGTTCCTATAAAGATTGAAATGACATTTATATCTAGCTTTTAAGTATAAGTAATCAGCAGTTTATACATGTCACTTTTTAACCCAGTAAGATATCTACATGCTTGTGTATATATATATATACATTATATAGATAATATTAGTTCTTGACTTCTACTATATCTGAACCATTTAAAAAGCTAATTTTGTACCCTGTTATAATAATAATAACCATAGATTCTCTGTAAATGACTATATATTATAAATAGTCTGTGTTTTTTCTATAGAACTGGTATAGAATTCCTAAAGATAGATATAGATGATGCAGACTACTGATCATCCACAGGTATAAACTAGGTATGTATTGTTCAATAAGCATATTTAATATGATTTTTTGCAGTATTCTGTAGAACAAACTTGTAATTTTTCTAAGTAATGCTTTTACAAAAATGCAGCTCATGTTTTGTATTATTAAGCTGTTTTGGACACAAACCAGAATACTTTTTACAAATGGATTTCAATGCAATGGAATTCTAAATCTTTAAAGCATGTGTATTTGTGTCTTTTTCTTGACAAGCATAGTAATCCCTAATTCACCTATTTTAATAGATTAATATATTATTCCTTGATGATAACCTATGATGCACACATTAGAAATTACAGTACTACTTTACAACTCCCATGATTCTAGGTGACATGTAGATACTCAAAATAGCAAAAAATTGTAGCACCTCCAATCATTCGCATTTAAATGCAACTCTTTTGTTAAACTTAGTTTTTAACTGTACAGGTAAGCCCTCTTAAGAAATGAAATACAACATACATACAAGATAATTCTCAAATGTTAGTTTTACACATTCTGGAATAAGATTTATAAATCTACTGTCAAATACAATGTGTCACCAAATTCAATAAGTATCGAAAAAGATTATTATTAGATGTGTTAGTCCTTGTAAGTTACATCGGTTATCAGCAAGTCTTGCTCTGTCAAATGTCTATTTTATCACTGGTGAAAAATATTAAGTGTTAAACATAAATTTGTTTTGTTTCTTTATATCTAGAAATCAAAACTTTTTCTATGTTTTCTTTGAATTTTGTAAAATCAAAAGAATTTTTCTTACATTTCTTAAAATACAAAATAGCTTTTTTCTTAGTAAAGAATATCAACTTAAACAATCCAGGAAACACTAAATTTTTTATAACAAAAAATTACATTGATAATATTCAACATCTTTACTACAGATTAAATAGACAATATAATAAATGCACATTTCAGCTGAAGTGTTAAGGGGAAAAAAAGCAGATTCATTATTAACATTATTACAAGCAAAAACACTCTGGACAATAGTTATGAATAATAAACTTTTATTTAATCACTAAAAATACATAATGTTTACATCAGTAATGCTTTGCTGTTTGTTACACAAAGAAATAATATTCTGCTTAAAAAATATCTCTGTGTGGTGCTTCTTGTTTTTCAGAGATTCCTTGTAACTCTCTTAGGCCCTAAAAGATAGTTTGATAAAAGAGACATTAAATATATTTTGTTTTTTAATTATTACAACATTAACAGCATTCTCATTCAATTATCTTAATTTTGTATGACTATTGCTCTGACTTCTGTTGCAAGCAAGGCATTGTAATGTATTTTCAGAGCATTTAAAAAATATCTTGAAAGTTGGAATTTAACAAATATTCCTCAACACTGTTTTAAGTGCATTTTCGTACTTCAGTTACTTCTTTCAGTTTCACAAATTTTGAGTAGATCACTTTCATTGACTCCCATTGGTGGGTTTATACTCCCTAAACAAATTTCATTTTCAGCTTTCAATATAAACTTGTTGTCCAATTCAGAAATTACGAGAAAATTGAGACTTTTAATGAAGATAGATCTAGCCCTATTTTATTTTTCACTAGGGCCTAGTTAGTAACGCTAGCTAAAAAAAGGCTGAAAATGATGTGTCCTGATAAGAAACTGATGATTATATTTAAGCATGTACAAAAACCTATCAAAACACATCAGTTTTATTACTTCTGAATTGTTAAAAATTAATTTCTAATAGCCTCCCAGACCCCCTTATATGCAAGACTTTTGGTGGTATCCCCAGACCCATATTCTACCTCTTTTTTAATCCCCTCCGGCTCTAAAAATTAGCAACATATCTACATAAGATACATAAAACAAAACTAAAAGTTGACAGATGTAAAATGATTATAGCTTAACAGAGTTTTTTCTCTTCCAAACTTAGAATGTAAGTTATATGGCATCAAAACAAAATATTCCCTATAGAAAAATCAAATAAGCAAAGCTAACATGAAGTAACCTAAGTTTCCTCGATGAGAGAACCTAATTTCTTAACCATCTTTACATAAGTATATGCACTTTTCAAGTTTTCATGTCTCCTTGTTGCCCAAACTATATTTTCATACAAAACTTTTTTTTGATTTTTTTTTTTACAAAAACAGGTATGTTACACATTAAATGTATGCTCATCTAATAAGTCAGAAATAGTAAGTCTAAGAATATACCCCCAAAATTAAACAATAAATTCAGTTCTGAGAAGATTCTCTTCATCTGTTGTGTAATATACATAACTGACATTTTGGGAACAGGTATGGTAATAACAGACAGGAAGCATGACATTGTATATATTCATATATTCTCTCATTTAATTTACTATAACATCAAATGCCATTTGTAAATACTTCTAAGATTTAAAAAAATCACATAACAGTATGTGGCCTATATCACAAACACTACATGAGCCACTAAATTTAATATAACATCAAACGCCATTTGTAAATACTTCTAAGATTTAAAAAAATCAAATAACAGTATGTGGCCTATATCACAAACACTACATGAGCCACTAAATTTACTATAACATCAAACGCCATTTGTAAATACTTCTAAGATTTAAAAAAATCACATAACAGTATGTGGCCTATATCACAAACACTACATGAGCCACTACATTTAATTTCAGCATTCTAAATCTAACAGAAGTGTTACATCTGGAACACACTTTGTAATTTTTTGTAAACCTAATATATGCATAAAGATATATATTGTTCTGCTTTTTAATGACATTTAAATAAGTTACTAAAGACTGTAATTTTTGCAAAATAACATGCTATTCGTTAAAACTAAGGATATTACTTTGATGATGTATAAATTTAACACTCTGGCTTACTTTGCATCATAATAAGTTTTCTTCTAAAGATTTGCTAATATACACAATAAGTTTATTGTGATTTAATTATAATTCGTGTATTGAAGTAATTAATATTTTCTACACAATCAATGATGCCATTTATGTTTTGATTGTTGTAAGTCTTTCTTACTACATTTCATTTATTGTAATGGTTTCTATTCTATAATCTAAATCTGAATGTTAATATTTCATCAATATTAAGCAGTGTCATATCAGTTGGATAAAACACATGTTTGCAGAATACTTGTACAGTTAAACTTTTGTGAATACTATAGTATTTTTTGATTAAATAACTTTGTGGATACCACAAACTAGGATTATTTACTAAATATACAAAAGGAGACAGATAAAAAAAAGATTTAAATTCTTTTTGCCCAAAAACCACAGAGAATGCAAAAAAACTTTAATTTAACCCTAAACAACTGAAATTATTTCTATACTAGCTACACAAAAACTGAAGCAAAAATACATTGTTGTGAGTATGCCGAGAAACATATACATCTGGCTTATGTGAAATATGTATCCACTAAAAACAGTTGCCCTTTCAATTTATCATTACAGTCTACAATGGTAGATTGCTTTGAATATTAAAGTTCAAACCTTCTCTTCTATCACTGAATTATTTATTTTGAATTATCAAAAAAAAATGAAGTGGCTAATTTTTTATTGTGTATTTTTTAATTATAGACCTAAAGACGTTTTTAGGAAGAGAACAGTTAAATGTACATGTTTTTAACTATAGAAACAACATAGTAGAGTTTAAAGACAAGTTTTAAACACCATACATGTGAGCTCCAAAGCTCATATTTGTTTTTCATTGTTAAAATTAAGTTTTTTTAGTACTCATCTTGTAACAAAGATTAGGGTTATTAGCTTGACAAGTATGTTTTGAAATGAAAATACACAACCATGTGGTAGACATCTGAAAATTCTTTTATGCTATCACCCAGTGCTTACCTCATAAACAATTTTTATGTGAGCTTTTATTTTGCAAGTGTCTTTTGTCAATTTCTTCAGCTGTTGATTGAGTTGCTCTACTTTTTTATCAATGAAGCATTTTGCTTCTTCCATTGTGAACTCCACAAAGAAACCAAAACCAACATGAACAAAGATGTGGGAAGTATTGGGACTAAAGTAATAATAATAATTTCTTGAAATACATAAAAAACAAAATATTATTGATGACAAATAATATTAAAATTTCACAATATTAGTGTAAATTAAAAATGTCTATCTTTTTTTTTTTGTATTCCTGTGTTTAAGCAAAACCAAAGTTAACAAAACATGTTGCCGTAAACCAAAGTCATTAATTATAAGCTTCATACAAAACATGTGTAAACAAAATACACCAGTTTATATATGCCTACAAAATGTGGGTGTGTATACAGACAAGCCTGAAAATAATTATAATGCAAGTTCTCAAGAACTTTTAATCAAGAAATTACAAAATTAACTGGTAAATTTGATTAGTTTCTATACATATCACACTTTAAGTTATAGTTTTTAAAGTTACAGTCTTTCAGTATTCAGCACTGGTTTCAATATATATATATATGCATGTGTACATCTACTTGTCTAAAATAAGTGTAACAAATATTATTACTTGTGCACTTATGAATTTAAGATTATATCCATATATCAGTTGGATAAATAACTTTAGAACATGATGACTAATTAATCACAGAGCAGTCATCTTTTAATTGCTGATGCAGCTATTTACAATCTAGCAAATAATTAATGATAATTCATAGAAAACTTTTTCAACTGCAATAACATACACAGTTTTGTTATTGAATCCAGTTTGAGGATGTGATAATGATCTATCATGCATGTCACAAAACTACTCAGTGTATTAAAAATATATTTATAAATTATCATTAAAAAACTGATATGAATTATTTGTATCATAAATTATTTTCTTAAACTAAAATATAATATTTTACGAAACAAACATAACCAAAATTTATTGATTCATGTTGCTAAAGGTGGCAAGCCAGAGCCAGACTAGCAATCATAAATATGCACTTTCTTTTTTTTTACAATAAACTAGAAAATACTTTTAACCCTTTCCCCACAGGTCAAAGGCCATGTCATTGCATTTGTTGACTCACATTCAAAATTTTATTGAACTACTATTTCACGAATTTATGTCAATAAGTTAGGTATCAAACTGTAGATTATAACTCAAATTTTAGCATTATACTTTACTCAATTTCTTAATTTAAAAGTAA